GTGATCCTGCCTGCGGGAATTATGAAATAATTACTTGCCGGAATACCGGGCCAAGGAGTATAAGGAACCAGCCCAATCCAGGATCATTCACAATCGAGGAGTTGGAAGGGGAGCGCAGAAGGCTCTGGGCAGAGCCCGAAGTAGGAGAGAGGGTGGAAGCATTTTCCCTCAGCCTGTCAGATGTTGGGAAGGCCATGGACCTGGTGGCCGCGCATGAGATGGCAGATCCGGATGCCATCCAGGCCTTGAGGGAACAAGTTCTGGAATGCCCTGAGGCAGGAAGGTTAGAACTGGTATATCGGCTCCCAGGCAGTGGAGGGAACCCCGCATCAGCGCAAACACAATCTGTGAGTCGGCCTTTCTTAGGGGACGGCTCAAGCAGGGTTCCCAAAGGCGGTACAAGACGGTAGATAAGAAATGTCGCCCGGTACCCGTACTCGTTACAGAGGACGAGGAAGTATATTACGAGAGGGAACGAGGGTTGATTCGACAAATGAGGGAAAGTGCTTTAGCAGGGCCATGTCGTATCAACGAAGGGAACGAGAAGGAGTTGATCATAGGGGAGTCTGATTTCCTGCTGCCTCAGGAGCGAACGCTGATGGTGGAATTAATGAAGAGGAAGCACCGCGCCTACGCATTTAGTGACGAGGAGCGTGGCAGGCTAGATGTAGATAAGATACCTATGATCCGCACCCACACCGTGCCACACGAGCCTTGAAATATGAGAGGGGCGCGGTATCCCAATCCTGACGAGGAGAGGAAGGTGGTGGATTATCTCGACGGCAAGATACGTACTCACGTCGCCGACTATTCAAGTGGACCGTATGCGTCCCCGTGGTTCTGCTTTATTAAGCCTAACGAGACGCTGCGGTGGGTGCAGGATTTGCAAAGACTGAATGAAGTGACAGTGCGAGATGCTGGAGGACTGCCGAATGCAGACGCGCTGTCAGAATCCTGTGCTGGAAGGCCTATAATTTCGCTTATAGACCTTTACTCAGGATACGATCAGTTCCCAGTMTACCCGCCGGATAGGCCGGTGACAACTATGCACACACCGCGGGGATTAGTCCACATGAATGTGGCCCCACAAGGGTGGACCAACGCAGTAGCAATGGTCCAACGAGCCATGATTCGGGCCATGCAGTCAGTCAGCCCCCATATCACACAGCCATACATTGACGATTTGGCAGTGAAGGGGCCGGCGATGAAAGAGAGCGACGAAGTCTCACCAGGGGTAAGGCGCTTTGTCCGGAAGCTCATTCAGGACCTCGAAAAGGTCCTGAACCTGCTCGAAGAGCATAACCTCACGGCAAGCGGGGCCAAATCCAGACACTGCATGAGGGAAGCAACTATCTTGGGGATAGTCTGCAATGAGGAGGGCCGAAGGTCGGATGTGAAAAAGACGGACAAGATTACTGAGTGGCCAGTTCCGTTCCACTCAATAACTGATGTCAGNTGGGGAAGTACGCCGCTAGTAGCCGGACCGCAAACGAGTATGCCGCCACCCATCTACCCCGCGGCCCAGGCCCAACCTGTGGCCCCGCCACCGCCACCTGATCCCAGTTCACAGGGCAGTGTTGTAGGGGGTGGGAACCAGGGGCAGGACAATCAAGGCAGCGGAGGGAGGGGTGGAGGGAAGGGGCGAGGCAGGAATGACGGCGGAAGAGGGAGGCAATGGAATGGTCAAGGCCAAGGGGGTCAAGGCCAAGGGAGTCAGGGCCAGGGGTACCAAGGCCAGGGCTATCAAGGCCAGGGGGATCAGGGAAGTCAGGGGTATGGAAGACCCCGCTTTGACTGGAGGGCGGCCATCTGTCAACATTGTGACCAGCAAGGCCACACTATAAGGTTCTGTAATATAAGATGGGAAGACGAGAGAAGCGGGCTGATTTCCTCTACTATRGATGGGGATATCTACGATCAATTTGGGGAGGCCATTGACAGAAGGCTTGGAGGAGTGAGAGCTGAAGCCCAACGAAGAGCGGCAGCGGGACCACCGCCCCCTGCCATGTTCAGGCTATGGCAGGAAAAGGAGGAACCACCGTTTGGGGTGGAAGAAGTGGGAAGTGATGAGGAAGTGACTCAAGGGCTACGAGGAGGAAGTGAGACAGAAGAGGCCATAATCATCGAGTCAGATGACGAGGAGGAGGAGAAAAAAAAGAAGCCTCCGTCCGTCTTATTTGAGAAGATGAAGGACTTGCTGGATAAGATGGGGAGGTACCAACAGAAGTTGGTGGGTCTCTGTAAAGAAGTGAAAGGATGGAGGTCTAACATCCCCACAGTATTCCTCTATGACTCTGGCTCGGAGTCAGCACCTGGGCGACCCGGAGTAAATGTGGTGGGGTCGTGCCCTCAACCAGGGATAAGGGGGAGACCCCTCACTCCGCAAGTCCGGCTGGCGCAGGCAGCGCGAACGAGGAATCAAGCCAAGGCCAGTACCAGCCAAGAGCCTCCGAGGGGGGAACACGAACCAGGAAGGAGGAAGGAGGCTGTGGAAGTAGAGGACGACGATGACGAATAGGAAGAGGACGAGAGGCTGCGCAGAGAAGAGGATCAGAGAGCGGAGCAGCGGGCAAGGAAAAAGGGGATCAGGGGAGAGGCCGAACCGGTCATACAGGACGGACCGCCCAAAAAGAAGAAATACGCGGTCCGGTTGGAAGAAGGATTTGACGTAGAGAAGGYGATTGACCGGCTGCTGGAAGGGCATAATGACCTCATGACCCTGAAGGAAATCCTAGCGTCAGCCCGACGACTTCGCGATGAACTGAAGGGGAGGTTATCACAGCGCCTGGTACCCAATGTCCACCTGGGTACGATCCCGCCCAAGGAGGCAGAGTAGGCAGAGTCAGGTACGAAGATGGACTGGAAGTGCGTAGCCTGTGGTACGGTGGATTTGATGGTGAAGGGTTCCAAGTGCGCAGCAACGGTGGACACCGGGGCAGAGATGAACATTATTCGGGAGGCGGACGCGATCAGATTCAGGCTGGATATAAACCGTTCTGACTGCGGCATGGAGCCAGCTGTAAGGCCATGTTTTGCGGGACAGCCTCGAATGTGCTCGTCGAGGTTGGAAAGGTGAAGGCCAGGGCATGCTTCTTCATAATGCCGGACGTGGACCATGGAATCCTCCTGGGGAGGTCATTCCTAAGCAGGACAGAGACCGTGATGTTCAACAAACATGATGGGACGCTGATCCTCCTCTTATGTGATCCTGCCTGCGGGAATTATGAAATAATTACTTGCCGGAATACCGGGCCAAGGAGTATAAGGAACCAGCCCAATCCAGGATCATTCA